CGTCCTTACCGCGTCCTAAACTGTCATATTTTGGAGAACGCCGATGGTCGCATTGAGAACGCCAATGATTTTTCTAAAATAAATCCAGATTTCGAGTCAGCCGTCACACCGGAGTTCTGTGCTCTGCGATCTGTGTATGTACACGGCGTTCCCAACACGACCTTACCGCGTTCTTACTGCGTCCTTGGAGTTTCTATTGAGTTTACACGGCGTCACTGCGGCGTCCATACGGCGATCAGCGGCGACCCCACTGCGACCCCACTGCGTTCTTAGCGTTTCTACCACGACCTTACCGCGTGCATGGCGTTCCCACGGCGACTGCAGGGCGACCCAACGGCGTCCTCGCTGCTCAAATCCCGAAATATCCGCCCTGACATCGCGGTGAGGACGCCATAGACGTGATGGGGTCGTGGTAAGAACCCCATAGACGTGGTAAGGACGCAGTAAGGTCGCCATTGGTTCCCCCGATCCTTTTCTCCGCGTTTACATGGCGACTCTACCACGTCTGTACTACGTTCCTTTGGCGTTGTTCGGGTTCCTACTGCGATGCTAAGGCGACCATGGCGACCTCAGGGCGATCCCACGGCGTCCTGAGCCAGGACGCGCTCAGGACGCCGAACCTCGGCGTTTACCTACAGGGTTCCCGTTAGGAGCGCGCGGAGATTGGACGTTCATTACGCGTACTCAGCTGGAATGTAAATAGGAACTTGCATACAAAAATTTGTCAGCCTGAATTCGTTGACCAGATTAGCAGTTATGACTTGATACTACTGTCCGAGTGCTGGAATAAAGTTGAGATGGAACTTGACCTCTCTCTGCTGTCGGACTTTGATGTTAGAGCTTTCCCGCGCTCCAGCGGCTCTGGTGGTGGTTTAGTTGTTCTTTTTCGGAAAGATGTGTCCCAGTTTTTGACTTTCCTCAAATGTGTTGGAGATACTTTGGTTTGGACTAAAATGTCTGGATTGTCCCAGTCAGATTTATATATATGTTTGTCATACATACCCCCAGAAAATAATGTTTATTACAACTTGTATGATATCGATTTATTTACATGTCTTGAAAATGATATCGCTGAATATTCTGCTGTAGGAAATGTTATAGTGACCGGCGACTTGAACAGTCGTATAGGAACCAGATCTGATTTTGTTGCCCATGATGGTATACATGATTCGCTGACTGACAGACTGTCTGACCTGTTCGAGTATGATGCTGACGTCATTATGCCTACCCGACGGTCAGAGGATACGGTTGTTAACACTTTTGGGCGAAGGCTTATCCAATTATGTAAATCCAGTGGAATTCGTGTGTGTAATGGCAGAAAGCCTGATGATGTATCTGGTCGTTTAACATTTTTTAATCATTTAGGCTCAAGTGTCATTGATTATGTACTCATTGACAAATCATGCTTTAAAACTGTAAACAGGTTGAAAGTTTGTGATTTTAATGTATGGTCCGATCATGCACCAGTTGAATTTTGTGTCCAATGTGATAACCTGAATGTAATTGATACCGATTTTGCTTATAAAAACGAAACGCATACTGTGTATAGATGGAACGACGCTGATATAGAAAGAATGCGTGAAGTATTAGTTACCAAACAAAATGAGTTAAATGAAATGGTTACGTCACTGGAGAACAATTCTGTACATGTAAACCAGTGTGTAGTAAACTTGTCTTCCTTGTTGTGTGATGTATTCACGCCATTTTGTGGCAAGACTTTTTCGTACAAATCCAGCACCAACAGAACTGGTAGATGTGTCTCTAATGACAAACCTTGGTTTGACGATCGTTGTAAGTTTTTATACAAAAGATATATGAAAGCGCTTGCTGACTTTAATTTTGCGCGTATTCCTGAAAAAAGGAGTGTTTTGGTGAATAATAAGCGTATGTATAAAATTTACGAGCGCAAGATGAAAAGAAGATTTAAGACGCATGAAGGTAATAGAATGAATTACTTGCGTAGAGCAAACCCGAAACAGTTTTAT